TGCGGATAAACATAATCAAATAGAGGATGAACATCTCATTTTAAAATATAAAAAATCTAAAATATAATTAAAATAATTATCGAGTTCCAACAAAATAAATAATTATTATCTTTCTAAAAAAATTATATTATTAAACCAAATATAAATTACTTCGTTATTGTACATAAATTAAATTAAAAAATATTGAATTAAAAATTACACAAAAAGTGAGGAATTTAAAATAGTTAATTTGATACTAATATCGACATTTTTGTCAAATTTTTATGATATCTTCAAACATATATTTTATTTAAAAATAAAAAATTATCGCTTTCTTAAAATTACATAAAGCCAGATTATAACATCGACTGAGATAAAAAATAAAATGAAATATTAAAATTACGATGTATCTCGCTGCATTACGCGAGTACGCTTCTAGTATCTTATAAAGTATTTATCTCATGTTTTTTTGAAATATCATAAGTACTAGTAAAAAAATTATTAATACAGTACAATTTTTTAGATCCTTATATTTGAATATTATAAAACTATCTGATAATCAATTGATTAATGCATTAAAATAAATATAAACGTTGAATAGCACTTATAATAAACAAGGTATTTTATTAATTTCGTATTTTCTATTTTTGATAAGAGAAAAGATGAAACAGCCTAAGAAATTACTTCATTTTGAATGATTAAGTTCTTCAATTATTTTTTGAATAAAAAAACCAATAAATTTTCCTTTTTTAAATAAAAAAAATCATTAAACTTTTTTATTTTGATTGATTAAATTCCTGAACAATTTTTTAATAAATAAATCATTGCACTTTTAAAAATTAGTTACCTATATTCTTTTAATCCAGAAAAGTTACGTTAACCAACTAGTAAAAGTTTGATATTTTATTTTTCTTTTTTGAAATAAAACTTTAATGATATTTTCATTAAAAAATAGTCCATAAAATTAATCATTTAAAATGAAAAAGTTTAATGATTTTTTCATTTAGAAAAATAATTTAGACACAAAACCATTTAAAATAAAAAAAATTATTAGGTTTTTTACACTTTATCCAATAAACTCGTACATTATGATAGATTATACAAGTAAGGTTTTGATATTGGATCATTTATTGAGGTCCCATTATTAAGGAGAAAGGGTCAACCAATCCAAAAGGATTGGATTGGTTTGAAATTTAAGACCCTACTCACCATGACTTTGCGCTTCTTAATAATCCACACTTGCACGCAATCACATAATTTTTATTATATGTTGATGTAGATTTTCTTTCTCTTTCTAATTATATATATAAAATATAATCATCTTAATTAATTGAGATATTTATGGAAATGATGAGAATTTATTTATTATGATTTAAATATTTATTGAAAGATGACTAAAGTTCATTAATTATTATCAATACTTTATATTAGGAAACAATAAATTTTTTTATGAAATTACATATTTATCAAATTAAATGGACGGTTGAGATTGAGTTGTATTGATTGTACAAATGTAAACGATTTTATAATAAATTATCTATATATATATATATATATATATACTAGAAGTGTACTCGCGCAATGCAGCGAGCTACATCGTG